CTATTTTTACGACGACTTATTTACCTTAATGAAGTATCAGTCTATTTTTACGACGACTTATTTACCTTAATGAAGTATCAGTCTATTTTTCCCACGACTTATTTACCTTAATATCAGTCTATTTTTGATTTTTTTACCTGTTTATTTTGTCGTCGGTTTACTTCGTTCAGGTCCTGCTGGAAAGACTACTGTCTTTTGTTTCACAAAGCACACAATTGACCATCGAAACTTTCTATATTTCTATAAGGAAACTAAAGCTGTTTTACATGAAAGAGGTGTCAGTACTGAGGTGAAACCGGGTTTCGATAGCCCAGGTGATCACAGCAAAAATAAGGTAGTGGTTTACATACAAAAGAAATCTAATATAACTTTTAAGACTCGTAACCTATTAAAAACAATGGCACTAAGAGAAATTTTGGAAACCCTGACCTTTGTTTGATCTATGTTCTACTTGTTATCCATTTGCGAGCTATAATTATACTAGCTAAACGAACGTTGTTGTTTTGTTTTTTTACTTTTTTACAGTTTAATTAATAGAATCACAGTAGGAGCTTTCGGGCTGGTATTAAGTCCACTCTGATCCAGTGTTTCAGAAACATCTGAACATTCACCTGAGGATGGACTAAGCATTGGTTCAGAAACTTCCCGGCTGTGAGTCCATTACATAATCAGCTTGGCTCTAATTGTTCTATTAGTTTCCAAGTGCACTGTGTAAATTATTAATTATACACATATTTCTTTATGGACAAGTTTGCGCTCTTGCAACACAAAAATATATAAAACATCGGTCATTTTTCATTTCTAAGTGACTGATTTAAACAAGGAAAAACAGTTTTCTTTTGATGTAATCACGTGATATGACTCTTTTTTTTAAAATATTTAGATGCGTTACTGAACACCAATAGAATTTACGACTGATATATGATATAATTTTAATCATGTTAACTGAGACTATAATTAGTCATGTTAACACACACTATAAGTACCTTTTATTACATACCCAATATTTTATACTAATTACGTTACTGAACCCCAATAGAATTTACGACTGATATATGATATAATTTTAATCATGTTAACTGAGACTATTATTAGTCATGTTAACACACACTATAAGTACATTTTATTACATACCCAATATTTTATACTAATTACGATTACTGTTCTTATTCGTCCATGAATGACTGATTAGATATTTAAACATGTAGAAACGTTAAAGTTGGACTAAAAATATATAGCAAACATACACTTGTAGAAATCGTCTGGTTTTCATGGATCGACTCTCGTTTTTCTAGAAGTATCTTTCTATAAGAATTAGTGATTATGTGGAATGGAAAGGAAGACGACATTTAGTATTAAACGTTGTTTTGTTTTTTTATAAAATGGCCCCTGGAAGTTTTATTGCAATATTTATCTAGAATATGACAGAAGAGGGTTCGCTATGGAAATACTCTTTCATAGCCATTTTTATTGTTGTATCTCTAGCGGCATTTCTTTGGTTTACTACTCTATACTTGCGTGCTTCCTCATCGCTACTTGTGCATATTTTCTGCATTTTTTATTTTTACTTTTTTAGAGTTCTTATAACAATATTTGCATTATGTAAATATGGATTTTTTTCTAACGTTATTGACTAGAGATGTGCTATTCTTTCCCAATCATAAATACCGTTTGTTCGGCTCAGGTACACAAAACGAGGGTTAAAACATAGACTACTTTTGTTTTTAGGTTTTACTGTTATAGTTCAGAAATGACGTCTCTGTTGTATTTTAAATAAACAGTTGACGGAAAACAGAGTTATAATTTGGTACTGTAATAAATAGTTCAAGGAAAATAGAGTTGTAGTTTGGTATTGTAAAAAAAACAGTTGAACTAAAAGAGAGTTATTTATAGTTTGGTATTGTAAAAAAAACAGTTGAA